CAATCAGACTGGTAGCGTGGATGTGTCGTTTTGTTTACAACTGTAAACATCAAAACAAGAAAAAAGGATGAACTTACTGTATCTGAGTTAAATGAAGCAGAGAATATCTTGATTCGTTTAATAAAAAATGAGTCCTTTAATGGAATAGAAGATAAACGGATTTTAAGTCTTAATCCATTCATTGATTGTGGGATCATCAGAACTAAAACAGCGATATTTCAAAGAGAAGATACATCTGAGTTCAGAACTCCTGCTATTTTGCCAAGTGATCATCCCTCTATAAGAAGTTTAATAATGGAAGAACATAAGTTGAAAGGACATGTTGGAGTTTCTCACGTCCTAAATTCCTTAAGAGAAAGATTTTGGATATTAGCAGGAAGAAGAGTTGTGTCATCCGTTTTTGAAAACTTGTATAACCTGTAAGCGTTATTCAAACAAAAATGTTAACCCACCAGCGCTAACAGCGCCACCACTTCCTAGAGATCGGGTACAGGATGCCTCAGTGTTTCAAATAACCGGCATAGATTATGCTGGACCTATATTTCTAAGAGACTACAAGAAGGCATGGATTTTGCCTATTCACTTGCGCAGTGTACCACTGTGTTCATTTGGAACTGGTTACGTCCTTAACGACAGATACATTTCTACAAGCATTTCATCGTTTTTGTGCTACACGTGGAAAGCCATCCATAATTTATACTGATAATGGAAAAAATTTTGTTGGAGCATGCAATGCACTTGCTTCAATCGATTTCAATGAAATTGCAAAAAAAAAGGAGCTAATGAACGTATTATTTGGAAGTTCATTCCCCAGCGCTCCATGGTGGGGTGGCTGGTGGGAACGCCTCATAGGAATGATGAAAAGAATATTAAGAAAGGTTCTTGGGAGAGCCTGCCTTAGTTATGAAGAAATGTGTACCGTTTTGTGTAATTGTGAAGCTATCCTAAACGATAGACCTTCAACAGTTTAATTGGCTGATTCAAGTCTCACTTCCATAACAGCTGGAAATTTTTACGAGAAATACAAAACTATTCAGTGCCAATTGTGAAACATGCGTTCAGTTCTAACTTTTATAAACGTAAATTGCGTTATATCCAAAATGTTAACCAGGTTTTCAAGAAAAGATTTCGCTAGGAACATCTGGGAACTTTGAAAACAACAAGCAAAACTTCACTAGAAGTTGTAAATTAAAAGAAGGAGACATTGTCTTAATTGGAAGCGATGACAAAAGGAGATTAAATTGGCCTCTTGGTAAAATCATACAATTATTTCCAGGTACCGATGGTGAATGTCTATGTTTGTTTATGTTTCAGAGAATGGCAATATACTATGTTGTTCTTCTTTTTAGAGAGTTAGTGTAACTTTTGTTTTCATCATTTGAGAGTATGAGTAAAGGAATTATTTAATTATTGTAGAGTCATAAATAACTAAAGCGATATAGATAGTTATTTCTGAGTAATAAATAGTTTCTTGAGATAACGAATTTGGTGAGAATGTTTCAACACCCGAGTTGAATCCAAAGGAAAATTGATGGCATACAGTGGGTACAAAAATAAGAAGCCTGCTAGTAAGATTAAACTGCAGGAAAGCATTATTAGGGTTTAGTTCCATGAAATTGGCTACGATTACATTAAGTAGTTGATATCTTCTATATCGCACTGCTACACGGCTATCATTGCAAATCATGGAGGATCTACTAAATACTAAAATGATCCTTATGCATGTATACACATCTAAGTACATGTAATAAATATAACTGCACTTACATAGAATTTACATTAACTAAAAAAAATTTTGTATCAATAAATTTGTTCCATATTTTGTAAAAATATTGCATTTTTCACTCTTCTAAGTAATTAAACGTAATTAATCCTACAATTTTTTTTTATCATAACATTCTGATCTTATCATAAAACCTATACATAAAATACATAACGTGCACACATTTCCACTTTTCCACAGAAGATTTTTATTTTGGGGGTCTATCACTGTATACATGCATGTATGATTACCATGCATGGGCAATTTAATGAAAACATTTTTCAGAAATTTTACAGTTTTAGTAACGGGGTAGGGTGGGAAACCTGCAAATCCCAAGAAATTCAGTTTATGATTGAGCTAAAATAAAAGTCAATCTTAATTTGATATTAATTTTGCAAAGTACTGGTAATTTTAAACAATTATTTTATGTCTTGACAAATGCATTTAAAAATACTTTTATGTAACTTTATGAGCATTAGGATCTGGGTGTTCCTTCACATATAATCATTCGGTCATATATTTTTATGAATTATTATGTAAAATATTTGTGATTTAAACTCAAGACATACTGAAGAGTACAAGTTTTTCTCCGAAAATGAAAGAATAATACAATTCCCAATAAGTTAATAAAACTCCATGAAAATATTCACAGCATGCTATTGCGGTGTGGTCTGAAGATGTTAAATAACTTTAATAAGTATAGTGGTTTCACTTACCTAAAGTAGTCTCCTTTGTCATGTCATGCTAAGCTGTCCAATACAACAAAATTACGAGGCCCAGTTACATTTAAAAAAACTGTGTATTCATTAAGTCATACTAGATTTCACTCCATACTGACTGTTCGAGGCCCACCACTCGAGGCACACCACAAAACTGTATTCCTCTGCTCCGAATGTAGCTCCACAGCCTTGTTATAGCTGCAACATCTACAATATGGTGAGGGCAGATGAAAAGCCAAATCCACATGCAGCAAACAACAGAAGAAAAACGGCTGTAGTGCCCATTAACTGAAGGTGTGAATAATAAAAGCAGCCATCACCACAGCATCTGCACATAAAAACATCTCTAGCAGTAATCCCATAATAGCACCCAATCATTTAACTGCAAAAGAAGGCAAAGAAAAAGGCAACCACGAAAAGGCGGTTATAGCAAAATGTAGCAAGAGTTAGCAGCAAAAAGCCATGAGGTTCAGAAATTTAAAAAAATCTCACAGTGAGAACAACAACCAATCATAATATTCCTCTTACTTTATCAGACAAACTGAGATGAAATGAGTTTTTGTCTGATGAAATCGCTTAGTCATGTTGCAACAATCCTGTTGGCGAAAAACTCTCCAAATGAAAAAGAAGAAATCTTTTACAGGTTTTCATATGGTTATAATAATTCCAAGGACTTAAATTTAAAGTGACCTCGTCACGTATGCTTATATAAACTTCAAAAACTTAGTAATGATATGCATGAAAATTCTCTCCGCATATCAAATGTAACAAAATTATAAATTAAAGACACTAATACATCATAAAAGAATATTATTAAACAACATTTAATGGGGGAAAATCAACCTTGAATTATTCCAATTTATCTATGAACCAGCCCCTCAATGCAAATTGAAAATTTCATTGCATGGATGTCAAACTTTTGCATTTTATTTTTTATAACAAGTAAAAAATTTTCCTGAACACAAGTACATTGACCAGAGGAAAGCATGAAGCTAGATTTTGTTAGTTTTTATAAAACTGGTGTTTTGGAATTTAAAAATGCCAAAATATGAATATTTGTTTGGTTTAAAACATTTTTTGTAACAGGGTATACCTACAACCAAAAGTTGTGAAAACAAAGGCCAAGCATGGGCTTTTGTAGACATGGTGTAAAATAGATATATAAGTATTGGAAATTATTGACCATGCTGCCAAGTTTGCATACATACTAGTACTTACTTCTAATTTATTTCAAATTTCTTAGACTTATTTGTAAATTTGTAATTTTTTTTAATTTACAACTTCAAAATAGAAAATTTTAGCTGCTGTGCATGAGTTAAACTCGGTTGTCAATAATTTGTCAAAAATAATTATCACCAGCTAACTCATGATTCATGGCAGACTTTATTAATTGCTTCTGAAATAAACTTGCAATGTGTTTTTGTGGCTATGCTGGTGATCTTCATGATGCTTTGTTATGTGAATATGCAAGTTTTATGCCGTGCCTCTTTCAACTCAACATCTGGGCACCTTGCCATATGCATCTGAGGCTATTTTTATCTCTGGTCGAGCAAGTTAGGTTAGTAATTCAGCCACCTCTGCACATTGGCAGGAAATACGTTAATTTGAACTTGTAAATTCATTCTTTTAGGATTTCACTGCAACATGCATTTCTGTGTAGTGCAATGTTTCAAGGTCTACCCCACTGTTTCTATTATTAAACTAAAATTTTTGCATTTTCCATATTTTATTTCTTTTCAATCAATTCTTTCATATTTTCATTATACAAATAAATATTCAATTTATGATTATTAAAATTCAAAATCATTTTGATTTTCTGCATGTGTGCGTTTATTCTGAACAAAAACACACTAACGAGTTAACTTGACATAATTATTTACCATTTATTTTTTATCAAAAATTAAAATAAATAAAAATTTTGGAAAAATATTTGAAGAATCTTTAAGTTTTGTTTGCACTAATTAAAAGTATATAGTAAAAAAATGGATACGTTTCCCACAGAAACTGATAAAATAAAATATTATATATTTTGAAAACTACCATTTATTTTTCCACTGTTAAAAAATCGCGTGAATTTTCAAATGAAGCAATGAAAATGGCCATTCCTCAAAACAAATTTTAAAATCACATCAAAAATCATATTGCTTTCCTGTAAAAAAAAATAATAACTACATGTAGAAACAACACATAATGGAGGGCCTTCTTTAACTATTTTGAAAATTTTTAATTTATATATAGAAAACATTTAAACATTTTTCTTACAAATATTTGGATACATAAAACAGATTTAATGAAGAGACTTTTTCTAAATTTTGAAACTAAATTTGAAAAGGAAAGAGATTTCCAGCATTTATATCATGATGCTAAATCCTTAGTTTACTTATTAAGGCAAATCCATATGATAATATTTATTACATTTTAACATACTTTATTACAATATCAGAAAACTAATTACAATCAAGGTTATTTTCTTCAACCTGCTCAAATGTTATTTTAAAATGAAATTTTTATTTGCTTACCTTTCAAAGCTTTCAAAACAGCTACCTCATTATCTAAATATTCCCTTCCAGGATTTTCCAATTTTATGGCCACGAGTTTTGAAGTTGTGAGGTCTTTGCCACGATATATTTGGCCGAAGCCACCACGTCCGATTACTTTTGTCTAAGGAAATGATTATTATCAGTATTATTTAAGGCTCTACTCTGAATTTAAGAAATGTTTTTGGAAATTTTCTAGTTCTTTTAGCAATATAATAATTTTAAAATAGATTATGACAAACATTATTATCACACAAAAACACTATATTTAAAATAAATTATACCTGAACAGATTTAATACATTATTCAATGCTGAAATGCAATGCTGAAACCTAGAAATAATTAAAAGTATACAGCCAGAAATTTACATATATGTGCACAGAGTCTATTGACATAAATAAATTATATACAGAAACGTTACAAGCAATAGTGCAGCCTACAGTAAGATCTTTGTTAGTGTGATACAAACAATAGCTTTTGGATGCAATGAGATCAGTGCCAGCTACTGAAATTGAGGAAGAAGACAAGACAGTGAATAAAAATGCTATTGTGATGCTGGTCACTTTCTAATTTCCACCTTTTAAAAATAAAAGGTTCTAGATTTATTAGGGAGGCAGAAAATGAATACTGATAACTTAAAATTAAGCAAACAGCAACCTTATTTTGGTGCATATTTTGAATAAAACTATACATTTTCAAGGGCAAACAGTCACAGGTCCATCTTTTTCAGAAGCAAAAAAAAAAAAAAAGGTTCTGCCTTGAATATTGATAAGATAAACTGAAGTACATGTCCAAAACTTAGAGATGATTGATATTTTTCCATGCATGAAGAAAAATACATATGAAGATACTTATGACATCTATTTCCTGATACATAATACTAAGTTAAAAAAAGGTAATGATAATAAACCTTTTGCAAAAAAGTTTCACATAGGAGTTAGGTATAAGTGATAAATGGCAGGTATACCTATAAATGTTCAGGCAATTTAACGCCTCAATAGCAACAGTGTCTGCCTAGAGTCCTGATAGAGTAATCAAGGTTGTGATGCACTCAATGCCAAGTAATTTAGCTCCTGGAACAGATTACTTCATTTCTCTCTTACAACATGGAATAGGCTTTGATAGTTTGCTGGAAATGGACTACAAGCTGTAGTATTTCTCACATATCTCCTGCATGCTCAACAGAGTTGGAGGTCTGGACAGCATGAAAACAGTCAACTTGACACATATCCTCACTCTCGAACAAATTCTCCTGTATTCGGATTTCATAAAAATGTAGCATTGTTTTCCCTAAAAATAATGAGTTGCCACTGGCACCATGGAACAATCAAACATGGTATCAGTTAATTTTTTTGTTTGTTTGTTTATATATATATATATATAATGGTTACCCATCATGGTGCCACTGCCCAGCATTCATAGCTCAGTAGATTCATAAATTTTGATGTCATCCTATAACATAATCCCATTGCTACCACAATACATTTCTTGCATATTTTCCTTACCATTTCATCCAAGACAAACCAACACTTGGAATCTAATTTCAGATTTAATCAACTCAGTTCTTTAATCAGTTCGAAAACATGATATTGATCCATTAATGTGCTGCCTAATTTTAGCAAATCTAACATCATTACAAAAACCTTATTCATATTACAGTCTTAAAGACTGGTGATAGTCCATGTGGATAGAACAACACAGACAATCAGTCTTCAAGCAAAGAGTCCTAGATAATTCACATATCAAACGGGAAGTCTTACAGTATATTCCTGTAGTGCAACAGAGGCAACCTGCAAATTTGCTGGCACTGTAGCCTCAACTGCATTTAACTGCTAGTAATAAATACATCTTCTTGTACAATCTCAGAAAAAGCATGACCAACAGCAATATATTTGAAACAGAATACAGATCATTTCAAAGTCTTCATGAAACTTGGTGATAAGATTTTGCAAGATTCGAAATTCCATTGCTACTTTGGTGATAATGAGGCAATCTACCAACTAGTATCCTATAATACTCCCATGTCTAAAATCATCCAAATGTCTTCGAGATGTAACAAAAATTTTATAGTTCCTTTTTTTTCCCTCATTCTTTGAGTTAACTCAGGACTCCTAAATGCAAGAATCAGAAATATGCATATTCAGCAGCTTTCTGTCATACATAATTTAAAACCATACAAAGTTGATTCATTAAAGTTTTTAATGAGAACTTTGCACAGTCAAGTTCATCTTTCCAATATGGGGATGAGTACATATATAGTAATACACTAATCTGTGGATAATGCTACTTAGAAAGTAGCACTGCAATACAGACAACAAATTGTGAAGAATGTAAAAAGATCCAAAGAGGAAATCATTGTCACTGGCAATTAGCTACGATCAGATCTACAATAAAGCAAAAAATGTCAAATATTATGAAGCCATTGTTTTCTGTTTTTGTATCTGTATCTGGCAGTGTTACATCATCAATGAACCAGACAGTCTAGGTTAATCTTCTAACATTTTATGCAATAAGACTGTCAAGTACATTTTCACCTAACATTCAGAAACATTAAAAGGAACACTATTTCAACTTTTTTAAACAAGAACCAGTTAAGTGTAGTCATTTTTTTGGGTAAATAGGAAGATTTTAGCTCTACATGTGGAAGGGCTAGTTCACCTGTTCCTATAGTTGCTGTAGACATGCTGTTAACTACTGACAATAAATCATAAGAAATTTTATATTTTCATGATTCTTATAAGCAAAATTAATTTAACTTTCAGTGCTATATTTTAGTTCATCTTCATGAAATCATTCTTATGGTATTTGAAAGAATTTGAAGTAAAATATATTGGTGCAATAATTGCAAATTTAAACTATGGAAAATAAAGTAATGTGAAAAGCTAATCCTTATGCAAGGGATCATAATGCAGCATGCTTAAGTAACTTCAGAAGCTGTTTTATGATAATGTGCTCATCAGCTGCCAATGTCACAACCCCATGATCTCAATCATTTGTCTGTCATGTATTGGGGGATAATATATTTTCAAAAGATACAAAAATAATGACAAAAAATAGTTCTACACTACATGTTTTCATTTTTTACAAATATCAAACTCGAAAGTAACATATTATATAATTTCAAAATGATCAATTGCATACAAACTAAGAAGTAATTTCTTCTGGTGATTTTGTGCTCTTTTTTAGATAAACGTTATTTTTAACAAATTATTAATTTTTATAACATCCATCAAATTAAAAAAACATGAAAACATGGTATGATCACTTTAGATGATTTTCATAAATTTAACAGAGCGTAAGAATCTATTATTATATCACTGCTCTTCAAATTACATCATTAGTCTTCATATTCAAAATACAATAATCCCTGTCAGGATAACTATCTTCCTATACATCCCTAAGATGACCACTTCTGAAAGTGACCAGTATTTCAGAAAACATACACAAACAATAGGACTGAATTTCATGTCTCTAAGATGACCACTATCACTGTTCACGCAGAGTCCTCTTAGGAAGGATTATTATTTTTTCTCACATCTAGTCCCTTTCAGTAAAAACTAGATAATGCCACTGGTATCTATCTGACATCACTATTCTAAATCAGTTGCAAAATACAGGTTTGAATCACTATTCCTACCTTTTTCGATCTTCCACAGTAAAAGCTTCCTAGAGAAGCAAAAGTGAAATACTTCTTGAATGGCACCTTTCCGTTTAGCACCAGAGATGGATGTGTTTACATATGGAGGCAGGCTGATCGCATGTAATTCCACTTGTATATTGAAAATCTCCATATGTAATGAACCCTTAATGGAATGATAAGGGAAGCTCTAAATTATACATCAAACTCATTACAGATTATTACTTGTAGTTTGACGGAGTACATTCAAATTTTATTAGAATCTGTGCTGGAAACATTTTAATATCCATTTTTTCATTAACATAATGAACAGCCACATACTGTCACTCTCTTCGCATTGCCTTAACCTTTTCCCGTGGGCTCGAAAAACAGTTGTGTACCTTCACTGGGGGCTCTTGGCTCAGCAGTTTTGGAAAGGGGGAAAAATTATCGAATCGAGTCCTTAACGAGTGGGTGATTAGTGTTCTTTTGTCAGCAGTCAGGCAAATGCTCAGGATTTCCTTTCAATCTAGTTCCAAAGCTCGCGTTAGAATGCGGGATGTACTCTAATCGTTTTCACACTGCAGGTAGATGAATACAGTTTTCCCAAGAAAAAAAAAAAGTATTATTTTACCTTCAAATGAAATGTATGCTATAACTAGAAATTTTGTTCTAAAAAGTGTTCCACTTTACGATTAAAATAGTTTTTTAAACTTGCACCTATATTATGTTACTGAAAAACTAGCGAAGTAATCAGTGTTAAATATATTAACTTGTCATCGTATCAAAAATTCAGTGATTTTATATAATCAAACATTTCCTTCAAACAATATATGCATTTTCATTTTTAATAGCATTATTTAAAGAGCAAATTAAAATTAAATAGAGTTTATTTATTGCAAGTGCCATTTAAAAAGCATTTTCGGATTCCAAAATGAGTGTTAATACTTTTACACCGCTGGCAATATTCATTCCTGGAGAAATAGAGAATTTGCTCACTGCGTTTTGTACTGCACTAAATTATTATTGAACAATGCCAGCACTAAGAAAAATTTACAATGCATGAGCCAAAAGAATTTTTTTATTCATTTTTTTTCCATGTGCATTGAAAAATAGCGGTCCCGAGTTGATCTGCCTTTACATCAGGGATATAAAATGTTTAATTTATTTAATCACTTCAGAGTTTTGGTTCAAGAAAGAAAGTAGATGCAAAACCTGGAGCTTTAGAAAATAAAATCTTTGTTGAGTTTTAATGTATTCAAAAATTTAGTTTTATCACTTAGAGATGTAAGATACTATTTTCACCTTAGAATAAAAAGTGGACAGGTGTTCGATGATTTATATTGCTACTCCCTTTTTTCTTTGAATGCAAAATTGCATATACAGGAACGCACTGAAATTTCAAAATGTAAACATCTTTGTCAAATGGCGGAATATTTCTTCAGTTTTTTATGATCTACATTTTCAGAATGCTAAAATCGCCTTTGAGGTATCAAACTGTCATGCTA